CACACTTGTATTTTTGGTCTTTTCCAAATCGTTAGATCTGTCAAGTTTCAAAAAACAAATGGAGAACCCAAAATTCAATGCTCCAAAAATTTATATAATTTCAATAAAAAAGGAATCCAAAAACAAAACTCAAACAAATGTAAAAAACTGAAACTGAGGACAATCAACAGTACAGGAAGTAAAACTAAAACATACATCCATCCATTTTCTTCCGCTTCATCCGTTGCCGAGTCGCGGGGGCGGCAGTCTTATATCAGAGACGCCCAGAATTCAAAAATACACAGTCACAGAAAAAACTAAATAAAACGGGAACTAAAACTATGATGCGGTTTCGGTTTTGAACATTTTCATTTTCTTCCGCTTCATCCGTTGCCGGGTGGCGCGGGCAGCAGTCTAAGCAGAGACGCCCAGACTTCCCTATCCTAGTTTTAAACATTGTACTTTAAAAATCTCTCTCTGTTGAGACAAACGTCAGTGAAGAGTGAGGGTAATACTTTGAAATGTCAAAACACGATGAGTCCATTGTAGCGTTGTTGATTCCAGCGATTAATTATAGCATCGACCTAATTTCACTTTAATGATGGTGTTTTGAATCAAATCATAGGAACTACCTCCTCTCTCTCTCTCCCCCTCCTCTCTCTCTTTCTCTTCTCGTCTCTCTCTCTCCTCTTCTCCATTTCTTCCTATCTCCCATTTCCTCTTCTCTCTCTTTTTAAAATAAATACAGTACGTTATTGTTATGCAAAGTTGTTTTTTTTTTGTATAAAATAATACAGCTTTATTATTTCCTTTCTGCATGTATTGATTTCCTGGTTCATTCTAATGTTAAGACATTTCTTCATGTCTTTAAGCAAATGCAAATGAAAGGAGCGGAGCCGCAGACAATGAGACTGAAGCAATCTCAGACCGGAGCCTGCTCTCCTTCAACGGCGAACATGGCAGAGGCAGCTGGATGCATATACGGCAAACACCGGAGATGAGATTCACTGGACATCCTCGCTCCACACGTGCGGCAAAAGGGTCATAGCGACACAAGACGGTCAAAAACAGGAGGGCCTAGACCAGTTGTGGGCAAACCCCGGCCCGTGGGCCAAATGCGGCCCTTTGGATGCTTCTATCACCCCTGAGCCCTCCACAATTTATATAGACTGAGATTAAGATCAAGAGAGATTAGGATTAATAACATTTATTCATCCCACAGTGGGGTAATTTCAGTTTAAACATGATACAATCCCCCTCTGTGCTGTGTGCCGCGCATTTTTTTTCAAATAAACAATACATTTATGTTTTAAAATGAAGCCTGAGAAAAAACATTGGCATATCAGACGGCTGTCGGGATCCGGACCTAATTTCCAATGTGGCCCTCAGGAGGAAAAGTTTGCCCATGTCTGGCCTAGACGCTCGAAAACAACCAAAATCTGTATTGACGAACACTTGTTAATGTATAATTCTGTCGCCACTTCATACACTTATAATAAATCCATGGTGCAGCTCCGTGAACAGACACTGCTGTTATAGGAAGTCTCTGGAGGATCTCAGACACAGAGCTGCACTTGTGGAGGAGAACTTTACACAAAAAGCCGCTAGCTTCAACTGGTTAGCATCAAAGCCCGCCCACCACTTCCACCCTGCGTTTTTTCCCATCACAGCAGCACATCAGATTGTCTAAACTGAAACCATCAACACACATATCGCGAATGGCAAGCACTGTACATTCTTGAATCCATGTGTCCGGGTGGAAACACGGCTTTAGATCCAGTCTGTGTTTATGATACTTTCACTTTGTATTGGAGTTTATGTACAGACACAGTCAAGTTTGTTTATGTTAAGGCTTAGTAAAAGGTGTTATTTTGTTATTTTGACATCTGTGGTCCTCCGTACGATGCATCGCTGGCGTGTTATTTTTACACTGAGCTCGAAACACCTCTGAAATATGTCTAAAGAGTAGGTCGGACTGAGACATCCCCTCCGGGCAACAACAGATGTGGATGTTTTCACTTCTGCTGCTCCCACTGAGCGACCGAGGTGAGGGCAGTGTGACAGGATGTGTGTGTGTGTGTGTGTGTTTGTGTGGACCAAGGTAAGAGCAGGGGTGACAGAGTGTGTGTGTGCGTCTGTGCCTGAGTGTATCTGTGTATGTGTGTGTGTGGACCAAGGTGAAGGCAATGGTGACAGGGTGTGTGTGTGTGTCGGTGTTTGTGTGTGTGCGTGGACCGAGGTGAGGATATTGGTGACGGAGTGTGTGCGTGTGTGTGTGTGGACCAAGGTAAAAGCAGGGGTGACAGAGTGTGTGTGTGTTTGTGTGTGTGTATTTGTGTGGACCAAGGTAAGAGCAGGGGTGACAGAGTGTGTGTGTTTTTGTGTGTGTGTATTTGTGTGGACTAAGGTAAGAGCAGGGGTGACAGAGTGTATGTGTGTTTGTGTGTGTGTATTTGTGTGGACCAAGGTAAGAGCAGGGGTGACAGAGTGTGTGTGTGTTTGTGTGTGTGTATTTGTGTGGACCAAGGTAAGAGCAGGGGTGACAGAGTGTGTGTGTGTATTTGTGTGGACCAAGGTAAGAGCAGGGGTGAGAGAGTGTGTCTGTGTTTGTGTGTGTGTATTTGTGTGGACCAAGGTAAGAGCAGGGGTGACAGAGTGTGTGTGTGTTTGTGTGTGTGTATTTGTGTGGACCAAGGTAAGAGCAGGGGTGACAGAGTGCGTGTGTGTTTGTGTGTGTGTATTTGTGTGGACCAAGGTAAGAGCAGGGGTGACAGAGTGTGTGTGTGTTTGTGTTTGTGTATTTGTGTGGACCAAGGTAAGAGCAGGGGTGACAGAGTGTGTGTTTGTGTGTGTGTATTTGTGTGGACCAAGGTAAGAGCAGGGGTGACAGAGTGTGTGTGTGTTTGTGTGTGTGTATTTGTGTGGACCAAGGTAAGAGCAGGGGTGACAGAGTGTGTGTGTGTTTGTGTTTGTGTATTTGTGTGGACCAAGGTAAGAGCAGGGGTGACAGAGTGTGTGTTTGTGTGTGTGTATTTGTGTGGACCAAGGTAAGAGCAGGGGTGACAGAGTGTGTGTGTGTGCGTCTGTGTATGTGTGTGTGTGGACCAAGGTGAAGGCAATGGTGACAGGGTGTGTGTGTGTGTGTGTCGGTGTTTGTGTGTGTGCGTGGACCGAGGTGAGGATATTGGTGACGGAGTGTGTCCGTATGTGTGTGTGTATTTGTGTGGACCAAGGTAAGAGCAGGGGTGACTGAGTGTGTGTGTGAGCGTCTGTGCCTGAGTGTATCTGTGTATGTGTGTGTGTGGACCAAGGTGAAGGCAATGGTGACAGGTTGTGTGTGTGTGTGTGTCGGTGTTTGTGTGTGTGTGTGGACCAAGGTGAGGGTATTAGTGACAGGGTGTGTGTGTGTGTGGCCCAAGGTGAGGGAAGTTGTGACAGGGTGTTTGCGTATGTGTCTCTTTGTGTATGTGCGTGTGTCTCTCTGTGTGTGTCTATGTGTTTCTGTATGTGTGTGTGTCACTGTGTGTGTGTCTAGTGTATCTCTGTGTGTCTGCTGTCGCCGCAGGCAGACTGTAGAAATCTCTCCCCTCTATCGCTTCCCCAGACAGAGACAGGGCCAATGAGACTGTGTGTGTGTGTCTCTCTCAGTGTGTGTCTCTGTGTGTGTGTGTGTGTCTGTGTGTGTGTGTGTGTGTGTGTGCCTTCTGTCCCCCAGTACTCCGCGCTCCACTGCGTCACAGAATTGGCCCCTCGCACTCCGCCATCCGGGCGAATGTCAGCGCCCACAGACCAACGCCGCTATTAAAAACCCGAGCAGTTTCTGTAAAGAATTATCTAATCTGCTCATGCATTTATGATCTATGTAAATGTACGGGGCCCCGGCACTAAGAGGATGATTAAACTGTCAGGAGCCGAGCGGGGCCTCAGTAGATTCAGGTGCAAAAGATAAAACTTTATTGATCTCACAGACAGATTCATGTTATATTTGGCTTCAATAAGATCCCTCAAAAAGTAGGTAAGTAAGTTAGAAATTGTTTGCTAGCTTCTTTGGTATGCTAAAGTTAAAAAATTTATGCTAGCTTCTTTGTTATGCTAAAGGTAGAGATTTAATGCTAGCTTCTTTATTATGCTAAAGTTAGAGATTTTATGCTAGCTTCTTTATTATGCTAAAGTTAGAGATTTTATGCTAGCTTCTTTCTTATGCTAAAGTTAGAGATTTTGTGCTAGCTTCTTTGTTATACTAAAGTTAGAGATTTTATGCTAGCTTCTTTATTATGCTAAAGTTAGAGATTTTATGCTAGCTTCTTTATTATGCTAAAGTTAGAGATTTTATGCTAGCTTCTTTGTTATGCTAAAGTTAGAGATTTTATGCTAACTTCTTTATTATGCTAAAGTTAGAGATTTTATGCTAGCTTCTTTATTATGCTAAAGTTAGAGATTTTATGCTAGCTTCTTTATTATGCTAAAGTTAGAGATTTTATGCTAGCTTCTTTATTATGCTAAAGTTAGAGATTTTATGCTAGCTTCTTTATTATGCTAAAGTTAGAGATTTTATGCTAGCTTCTTTGTTATGCTAAAGCTATTTATTTATCTCGTGCGGTGCTCATTCCTACTGTAACCGGTGAAGCAAGAGTTAGTTTTATTAAAATCTAATTCATTCATAGTTTTATTACATGCAAAAACGAGTTGATAAAACATGAAATACAATTGTTTTTCAGAATATTTGGGTCAGTATTTTTCTACCGTTGAGATGTTGCATGTTGTGTCTTTGGAAATGATCCAGAATCATCTCATTTTTCGGGAAAAAACTGTGAGAGGATCAGAAAGCAAAATGATCTTGTTTTACAGATACAAGAAATGTCTCCCTTGGATTGAAAACATAAAGCAACAGTTATTGAAATGAGACTAGATGGCTTTGTCCTATTGGAGAATCTTGTTTTAACACTCACAATGTGCTCTGGTTAACATAAAAAAACACTTGATCACACAATTACTACCTCGTATTTTCTCATTTTTTGCAGTGTAGAGTCCGTGGTTCAGTCAGTTTTAGCCGGTGCTGCGCTCTTGCAACGTGCCACAGCCCACTGGTTGAAAAACACTGCCTCTGCCTCTCTGCCCCCCCCGGCCCCTCTGCCCCCCGGCCCCTCTGCCCCTCTGCCCCCCTGCCCCCCTGCCTCTCTGCCCCCCTGCCCCCCTGCCTCTCTGCCCCCCTGCCCCCCTGCCCCTCTGCCCCCCTGCCCCTCTGCCCCTCTGCCCCCCTGCCTCTCTGCCCCCCTGCCCCCCTGCCTCTCTGCCCCCCTGCCCCCCTGCCCCTCTGCCCCCCTGCCCCTCTGCCCCCCTGCCCCTCTGCCTCTCTGCCCTCCTGCCCCTTGTACAGCTCTTCCGCCTCCATAGGATGTGACCCGGGGCCGTGGGCACGAGGCTGGCCTTGGCTCTCACAGACGTCTGGGGGGAAGGGGCTGTTCACGCTTTTAGCTTTTAACTCTCTATTGTTTCCCCTCAAACTGGAGTCACGCCAAAAGGGACGGACTCTGCAGGATTAGACCATGGCAGGTTAGGGTTTAGACGATGGCAGGTTTAGACCATGGCAGGTTTAGACCATGGCAGGTTTAGACCATGGAAGGTTTAGTCCATGGCAGGTTTAGTCCATGGCAGATTTAGACCATGGCAGGTTTAGACCATGGCAGGTTTAGACCATGGCAGGTTTAGACCATGGCAGGTTTAGTTCAAGGCAGATTTAGACCATGGCAGGTTTTGATGATGGCAGGCTTAGACCATGGCAGGTTTAGACCATGGCAGTTTTAGACCATGGCAGGTTTAGACCATGGTAGTTTTAGACCATGGCAGTTTTAGACCATGGCAGGTTTAGACCATGGCAGTTTTAGACCATGGCAGGTTTAGACCATGGCAGTTTTAGACCATGGCAGGTTTAGACCATGGCAGGTTTAGACCATGGCAGTTTTAGACCATTGCAGGTTTAGACCATGGCAGGTTTAGACCATGGCAGGTTTAGACAATGCGAGGTTAGACCATAGGTGTCAAAGTCAAGGCCCGGGGGCCAGATCCAGCCCGTGAGACCATTTCCAGTTTATGTATTTATTTATTGAGAAAGGGACAATGTACAATTAGAACATAAATGTTTCCATTTGATACATTGTACCGGAGTTAGCCTGAGGCTAATTTGCATCCGTAGTCCCCCGGCAGGGAAGAACACTCCACGTAGAGGTGGGTATAAAATAACACAAGCACATACCATAAAATACACATTTGTATACAGTCAGCAGATACACACAGAGCAGACGCACAAACGCACAATCACAGACGTATTCCCACACACAAGCGCACAATCACACACAGTTACAGACACACACAAACACACACACACACACACACACAGGTGGCGTCAGTACCTTTGGACCTTTGGAGAGTGATCACATCTTTGCTCACTCTTTAAGTGTCTTATCAGTTCCATCTTAAAGCCTTCCAGTGTAACACATGACTTAATAAAGTTAGGAAGTGCATTCCACTGTGTAGAGGCCTTCACAGAGAAGGCGGAGAGACCAAACGCCGAGCGACGGAAGGGGATCGTACAATCTCGCACAGAGGCTATTCTCGTGGATCTAATTGAGTGTATTGCCCCATAGTTCACAAAAGATTTTAAACAGTCAGGAGCCAGGCCATTTAGAACTTTGAAAACGAGACACAGGTTAGAAAAGCGTCTGAAGTTTTCAAATCTCAAATTATATTTTACTAAGATGTTACAATGATGGTACCTCAGAAGCTTTTTGTCTAAGATTTTTAGTGCCTGTTTATACACTGACTCTAGGGGTCTCACTACTGATTCACCAGCCTGCCCCCAACAACTGATACAGTACGATAAATGCGAGAAAATAAGCGCGTACATAAATGTTCCAGCTGCCTCAAGGGAGAGACAGGGTCTAATATGTCTGAAATGGGCAAGGTTGAATTTGAGAGTTCTTGTCATGTTTTTAACATGTTTTTTGAAATTCAAGTTAGCGTCTAGAGTAACCCCAAGATATCTGTATTCAGCAAAATGTTCAATCTTCTGGTTCCTAATGTAAATGTCAGAGTTTTGTGCTTTGGTTTAATGGCCCCTGAGATGATTTTAAATTATCATATTAAATAGCAGCATTTATGGTGATAGGCGACAATGGCATGTCATCCATTACTAATTTTCTCAACTCAAGAAATCAACCATAACATTTAATTCCATAAGAAATGTGAAGCCAACATGTAATTATGAGTTAGTATTGTTATGTTATGTTTTTTTTTTTTTTACAAGTCTTCAATTACATTTTTTCTCAAAGGTACTGTATGAAGGAGGATTTCCCAATTTTCTTAGCACGAATCACCAGAATGATTGACAATTGGGAGGACCAATAATCTTGATCCACCCGGCAGTAGAAAATCATCCTATACCTTCAATATTTGGTTTAGATTGGATATACTTTTCTGATCAGAAAAGAATATCCAAGTGATTTATAAAGATACCTTCATATCATAAAAAATAATAAATGAAACCAACTTATTCTTTCGGCCCCTGACCAGCCCTTTCATTTTTCATTCGGCCCGCAACCAAAATGAGTTTGACACCCCTGGTTTAGACGATGGCAGGTAAGGGGTGTGTGTGCTATCTGGTGCACACTGGGGTAGTCTTGCAGAGTTTTTCCAATGTGGTTTTACTGTAAATTAATTCTTGAATCTTGTATGGACTTTATGAACATTTGTGGACATTGGTCTTTGCCCTTATGGACCAATGGCTCTCTGTGTTTGTTATCATTGCATTTCCTGTCTCTGATGGGTGCCGGGATGAAAGATACCGTTGTGATTTAGGGCGATACAAAAATAAAGGTAATTGAATGAAGGTGTGATGGCAGAGGACTGAGCAAAGGGAACAGAAGTTTTTGTCCTGAGTCATCGGAACTGTGTCTGCGACCCGCTTCCCCTTTCAGACAGCAAGGTCAACGTCGCCTGAGCACAGACAATACAAACAAGTTAACACCAGGACTCCCAGAGCTGTCATTTTGACTGCTCCCATTCAAACCAATGGAGCTCTGAGAAAATGCCCTACAAATGTGTCACCAATTGAATTAAAATAATGTATAATGTTTTTACTCGCTTTTAATAAGTGCTATAACTGCAAAATATATGGTAACACGGTCAAAACAGTGTGTTGCTTAGGCTGATGCTAAAGCCCAAATGCTAACGTCTAACTGCTAATTTACACATCACGCGTTACAGCACGTACGCGTTATACGCGCAGCAGACGCGCGTAACTTTTTTCCATGTTAACCTATGATGATATTTACACTTCTAGCGTTATACGCGCGTATGACGGACATGTGACGCGAAGCTGCGCTCTAATTTAGGATGGATTTATAATTTTGTGCGCGCACCAACGCGTCTCCCATTGAAATCTCATGTAAAACATGATTTTTCTAGCGGTCCTTGGGTTTAGATCACATCTGCACACACACAGCACTTGTGTCTAAACATCAGCAGGAGGAGCAGCATGTTTTACAGTGATTCTGGACATCGGTTTTTTTCTTTCATAAAGTCTCGCGTTTGGCCAAACCAGCGCACAGAGACCATGAAGACAAACACATGCATGTGATTTGTGTTGCTCTACATCAGTCCTCTGTACTGTCCTCTGCACTGCTCCATAGACTACACAAGGAGAGCATCAGAAGCCGCGGACCTGCGCGCACGGTCAGTGTAGATACTCCAAAAAAATGTTACGCGCAGAGAGCGCGCAGTAAACGCGTACGCGCTGTTTACGCCTACTGTGTAAATCCCCCGTTACGGGGAACTGACACTGACCGTGCGCGCAGGTCCGCGGCTTCTGATGCTCTCCCTGTGTAGTCTATGGAGCAGTGTAGAGGACAGTACGAGCCAGAGGACTGATGTAGAGCAACACAAATCACATGCATGTGTTTGTCTTCATGGTCTCTGTGCGCTGGTTTGTCCAGACGCGAGACTTTATGAAAGAAAAAAAACGATGTCCAGAATCACTGTAAAACCTGCTGCTCCTCCTGCTGATGTTTAGACACAAGTGCAGTGTGCGTGCAGATGTGATCTAAAGCCAAGGACCGCTAGAAAAATAAAGTTTTACATGAGATTTCAATGGGAGACGCGTTGGTGCGCGCACAAAATTAGAAATCCATCCTAAATTAGAGCGCAGCTTCGCGTCACATGTCCGTCATACGCGCGTATAACGCTAGAAGTGTAAATATCATCATAGGTTAACATGGAAAAAAGTTACGCGCGTCTGCTGCGCGTATAACGCGTACGTGCTGTAACGCGTGATGTGTAAATTAGCAGTAAGAGTGCAGCTTCGCGTCACATGTCCGTCATACGCGCGTATAACGCTAGAAGTGTAAATATCATCATAGGTTAACATGGAAAAAAGTTACGCGCGTCTGCTGCGCGTATAACACGTACGTGCTGTAACGCGTGATGTGTAAATTAGCAGTGACAGTGTGTTGCTATGGGAACTAGTACTGGTTTTCCACCAGAGAAAAGCCAGTCCAGGACCAGGGCCTTGGAGAAAAACAGCTTTAACTGCCATAGAAAGAAAAGCGACCGAAAACTGCTCCATTTTATTTTTGCATTAATGGAGCAGTCAAAATGACAGCTGTGGGAGTTAGAGGTGGAACTACTCACAGTTCAGAAATAAAAGATAATTTCAGAATAACAATGACATAGAAATCAACAAAGAATAGAAACAAAAAGACCATGAATGCACGAGTCATTACTAAAAAAGCTAAAAGGCGTCATATTGACTGCTCCTGGGAGTTCTTGTGTTAAAGTTATGCATTAGATATATCCCCAGATAACAGGTCAACATTTACAAATTATATTTAACCTTTTCTGAACAAACAATGAAAGTTATAATTAATAGAAAATACAATTCACACGACGTCCACAATATTTATGTTTACGATGTAAAAGCAGATTATCCAATCAGAGAGCAGAGTCCCTCATTTGGGTGACCAGTTTCAAGGTGAAATTTGGAAAGTCTTGTCTCTTGGACAAGTTATTTAAATGAAATCTGGTACAAAATTAATACGTCTTTATTATCGCATTCATCGTCATTGTCAAACTACAACCAGATAATTTGGCGCAAATTCTTGACGTCACGAAACCTATACCTACAACACTGCAGCCACTAGGATCAGACCCAGACGTACATACAGGAAGTGATAATTGAAAAGAGTTTACGAATGGCTAAGACCAGGCTAGCCTCCCCTGGACACATCTGGTATTTTTATTTGAAGCGCATTTGCACAGGAGTAAAGTCTGTAACTTTCTCTATATTCACCGATTGTACCCCGCATTGTCGTATCATAACATCTGCTTCCAGCTTTGTGATG